TACTGAGTGTGGCAGGGTGAGGACAGACACACAGATCGTGGAGCAGGACAGAGACCCCAGAAGTGAGTGTGTCATCTCTGGTCCACGCACCGTAAGTGACGACGCAGAGGTCTCGACGGGGACCATGGGAGCACTGGCAGTAAGAGGAGCTGGAGGGAGGACGGCCATCGCCACAGGCCGGATGACAGCATTAGCAAACCCTGTGCTTTCTGCAGACTACATAGGGAACTTTCAGAGCTCCATAGTGAGAGGGAAACCCCAGTGTTTAAAACGCGGAAAGTGTGAACGACTCTTCACCAAAACTATGAACGTGCGGGCCAGTGGCACGTGAGCACATGCTCACGCCTCCACGGTAGGTAAACACACCCGACCGCAGCGTCTACCACACGTCGCTGTGATCAAAATGATCATGTGCAAGTGTCCGAGTGGGAAGACCGCCAGTTCCTAGCAAGAGTGTAAATCTCAGCACCTTGACGGAGGCTCGGCCACGTCTGAAACCTGACACATGCGCGTGTCCTGTGAACCAGCTGTCCCGTTCTGGGTGTTTCCTGAAGGAGCAGGGAGAACGCAGGTGCACGTGTCATGGGCGGTGGGAGAAGGGGTCTGTCCCCACTGCGGGTCCTGTCCCAGCCCCGGGAACACCAAAGTATGGAACTAAATATCTGGTAGGCGGTGGTTTGATTTTGTGTGCGATGAGCTCATGTCAGCAACAGCATTTTTAATTTACTCCTTTTCCCCACTAGGTGCTCACTGACAAGTTCATCTCGCCTGCACCCTGGTAAGTGTATACACTCGCCAGAATTTTTTAAGCTTCTGAGACATTCTGTCCACAGGACACTAACCCCTGCTTGCTCATGGTGGGACTTTGTCGACACGTAGACAGGTGGTAGCTCGTGTCATTACTAACCGTGCGGACAACCGTGCAGCTCACGGCAGAGTCGGTACCGACTCTGCCTCTGACAACGCAAGGCGTACACGGTGCTCGCTTATTCCCATGTGTCTGTGAGCCCGTGCGAGGTTGAGAGTCTGGGTCCTCTTTGGGCCTCTTCTGGGGACCCACAGCCTCTGTCTCTGTCCCACACCGTGAGCCATGGTCCCCCACTCTTGGCAAATTCCAAAATGTTCTACTGCCAAACCCTGGGCCTTTTCTGGCCCCTGCCCTGACCAACAGAGGTGCTGGAGGCACCCACCTGCTTGTTCAGACTTCCCTCCGTGCGCCTGGGCACCTCCCAGGTGACCCCTCGCTTGCCACCTATCTGGGGAACCAGCCCAGTGCCGTGACGTCAAGAGCAGTCAGTCACAGAGTGTCCCTGGAGATGCTGGTGTCCAGCTTCTGAACAGCTAAGGAGAAGCACTGGTGTGAACCTGTGTGACACGTAGGTCCCAAGGGACCCGAGACCCTCTACAGCACCAGGGCCCCCTGGCCGACATGTGTCCCTTCTGGCCATCCTAGGAGTGTGCATACCAGGGAAAATTCACTTGTGGAAATGACCCCCATTGACACTATCGGCATCAACATGTATCCCAAGAAGCCGCCGCCCGCGGTAAGTGCCAAGTCCTGGGCATGTCCTCCATGCAGGGCTGAGCGCCAGGGGCGGGGACTCAGGGCCCGGAATGCAGCTCAGGACCGTGTCAGAGGTGCCTGTGCCACTGGCTGCAGCATGTGTCGTGCTCCCAGGGATGCTGCTCAGACGGAACCAGCTGGGTGGGGACTCGCAGAAAACGCGAGAGACAGAAAAGGCTCTGGATGCGGAAGGGGCGGAGCGGGTGCGAGAGGACAGCTGGGTGTCACTGCCCCACCTCGCGTGCGGAGTCTGCCAAGTGTACCGTCTGCCACCGGCTCCGTCTGTCTGCACCGCCACCTGATCTCGACACGATGGGCCAGCAGGGAGGGTCGGGGTCCATGTAGTGGGCACATACCTGGTCCAGCGAGGCCACCGCAGGGCCCTCAGAGCCGAGCCTGGCATCAGGATCCGTGTTACAGACACTGTCTCTGGTCTGCAGAGGGAGCAGGGATGACAACAGTCACAGCTTAGGCCATAGCCCAACCAAGCAGGCCTGTCCGTCCCAGCCACTTCCTACCTCCCACAAAACCCTTAGTGGGGCCCAGGCCCAAGCCACCTCCTGGGCAAGACCAGTGGCGCCTCTGTCCTGTGAGCCAGAAGTCCCATTCTGGGTGTTTCCTGAAGGAGCAGGGAGAACGTAGGAGCACATGTCACGGGCGGTGGGAGGATGGGTCTGTCCCACTGAGGGTCTTGTCCCAGCCCAGGGGGACGCCAGGGTTGTGGTACTGAAAATCCAGTAAAAGTTAGCTTGAATTTAGTGTGCAACGAGCTGAGTGTCAGCCACTTCGGTTTTAATTTCACGATATTTCCTTTTTCCCCCTCCCCCACATAGAAACTCACTGACAACTTTATATCACCCTGGTAAGTGCGTACGCTCGCCAGACTTTTTAAGCTTCCGAGACACAGCTGTCCGCGGGACACTAACCCCTGCTGGCTCCTGGTGGGACTTTGTCAACACATAGACAGGTGGTAGCTCGTGTCATTACTAACCGTGCGGCCAACCGTGCAGCTCACGGCAGAGTCGGTACTGACGCTGCCTCAGACATCGTAAGGCACACACAGTGCTCACTTATTCCCATCTGTCTGTGAGCCTGTGCGAGGTTGAGAGTCTGGGTCCTCTTTGGGCCTCTCCTGGGGACCAATAGCCTCTGTCTCTGTCCTACACCTGGAGCCATGGCCCCCCACTATTGGCAAACTCGAAAATCTCCCTCCTGCCAAACTTGGGGCCGTTGCTGGCTGGCTGCCCTGAACGACGGAGCTGCTGGCGGCTCCCGCCGCTTATTCAGACTAACCTCCCTGTGCCTGGGCACCTCCCAGGTGACCCCTCCCTTGCCACCTGCTTTGGGAATCTGCCCTTTGCCATGAAGTCTGAAGCAGTCACTCACAGGGTGTCCCGCGGGATGCTGGTGTCCAGCCTCTGCAGAGCAAAGGAAAGCACTGGGGTGAGCCCGTGTCCCAAGCAGGTCCCAAGGGCCCCAAGACCCTCCACAGTCCAGGGCCCCCTGGCCAACACATGTCTCTTCTGACCGTCCTAGGAGTGTGCCTTCCAGGGAAAATTCACCTGTGCAAATGAACCCCATTGACACTATCGGCATCACCATGTATCCCGAGGAGCCGCCGCCAGGGGTAAGTGCTGAGCCCTGGGCATGTCCTCAGTGCAGGGCGGAGCGCCAGGGGCGGGGACTCAGGGCCCGGAATGGAGCTAGGACCGTGTCAGAGGTGCCTGTGCCACTGGCTGCAGCATGTGTCGTGCTTCCTGGGATGCTGCTGAGATGGAACCAGCTGGGTGGGGACTCGCAGAAAACACGAGAGACAGAAAAGGCTCTGGATGAGGAAGGGACGGAGCATGTGCGAGAGGACAGCTGGGTGTCACTGCCCCGCCGCGCGTGCGGGGTCTGCCGAGCTTGTCGCATGCC